AGTAGCTGTACAGAGCTCACTCACCTGGTGGTAACATTGGGAATGGCGCCATCGGTGGAGGCATAGCACTGGCAGTTGTAGTATTCGTAGTTTTCGCGTCCTTTTTGGTATTCGCCTCTGCAAAAGCATCAAAAATACTTGCGCCTCATACATAAGAAAAACTACTGTGGGCGCATTCCTTTCATTGCGCCAGTTTATAGAACAGAGAAGGAACCTGAAGAATCTTCCGGAATGCCTTCCATGCCATACACTTCAACTTCCACAGAATCTTTGCCCGGTAATGCAGCCGGTATCTTATCAATTGTTTCTTTGTGCACCTCAAATGATCGAAACAGTGATTTTGCGCACGAACAAACAGAATATCTATGAAATGATTGGCGCTTGCTAAGGAAGGGCAACATACTTGCATGCAATGTATTGCTAGTCCTGGCCCAGTAAAGAGCTTCTTATGACAAATGTGACACTTGAAATGCTTCGCCTTCTGGTGCTGAATTAGAATTTTCTCATCTTCAAACTCACGATTGCAGTACCTGCAATACAATACATCAGTTCTCGAATTTAGAGCACTTTTGACAAGAAGCTTCAGCTCCGCGCTGGAGCAGCAAAGCCACCGATGATCAGACAAAGGGAGCAATATCCCGAAAATGGAGTGCGACAACGAAATTCAATGTTTTTGCATAAAGCAAGCCAATTCCACGTGGAGGATGGCTTCTATTCAATTTAGAAGGCCAATCCAGCGCTCCTCTGCTAGACCGGGGTCTAGTGCGAAGCCCAATCTCACGCACATCAGCCCACACATGGAGCAGCTGAATGCGTGAAAGAGGATAGGCTGCCCGGACGTGCAGCCCGTCAGATTAGGTCAGCACAGTAAGGCGTACGAAATGTGACTCACCAGCACCAGGGCTTCGCTGTGCGCTTCTTCTTTCGACCCATCCTGACTGGATTCGGCTATTCGGCGAAACGCTGCAATATCATAGAATGACAGCGAAGAACGACGCTTGTCAGCAATAGCATACGCAATCCAAACACCAGCTGAGCAACCCCGTTTCACCAACCAACAAGCCAGCTTAGAAGGACACCCGAGACTCACCGGAGCTGAGAAAGGCATGTCTGGATTTCCCCCTCGCTTATCCGGGTGGCATCATGCACAATTCAGCACAGCCTCACCGAAAGTCAGTCTCAAGCAGCAAGCACAAGTACGACGAGCAACAGTGCTTTAAGAAGCAAAAAGACGAAGCGACACCCCGCACAGTCATGTGGCTTGGCATGTTGCAAGGTTCTAATGTAACAGGCGAGAATGCAGAACCACCAGCGCCGAGTTCTTTCGGGAAAGCACAGCAACAAGCCTGTGGCTGGAAATCTCAAAGTTTACGAAGACATCTGCGACTCACTGCTCTCATGTGCCCGAATCAAGTTCCCACCGGGAAAAGAGCACAGGCAGCCACTACTGGGGACCAGTTCTCGACTGTCCACTTTAGCTGCACAGGAGACAGAATCGCTTTTCGTTTTTCATTCATTCAGTTCAACAGAGCCATCGTCCAATCCGGCGAGGCACGCTGACTCAAAACGGGGAAACGACACATCCTCACCCACTGAATCGTTCTTCTCATAAGAGG